TTAAAAGCATTTATGCAGCTCTATACTTCTTCCCTATCCTTACTGTGCTTCAGGCTGTTGGAGGAGGTCTGCTTTGTGAGTTCTCTCTTAATAACACTAATAAACATACCTATAAACACACACTAACAGGTGACTTATGGGAGGGAGGGACATGACACAATTTTGCTTCAAAAATAAGGACATTGTTTAAGGTTATTGTGAGGCATTTTACCTGAAAAAGTTGCTCATCAGTAGCCCTGTCCTAACCAGGCTCCTGACCAAGACTGCTTTGTCTCTGCTGGTGCTGCTAGAGACTGTGCCTTTCTCAAGAAGAGAGTAGAAGGGAGGGAGCTCATTTCGCTTTCTGCTAAGGTAGAGTTTGTCTGATTTCAGAAGTGGATCAAAGTCTAAGTTTGGAGATACCTGCTATTTTTGGGTTTGCTTCCAGCATACTTGTCACATGAAGGGGACAGGCACCACAAAATCCCCGCTCAACCTGATTGCTTTTCTCATTATCTGCCTTTTTCAGTTAATAATTAAAGTGTACAGTAACTCCACCTAGAAATAACAGAGAAAGTTTGAAAACCAAAGACAGAAATGTTGAATAGTTGTGCTAGGCTGAGCCTTCCCACTGTGTGTGTTTGATGGGATGGTAAGAGGTGGACTACAGTAGCTTAGTTTACTTCACACCCATGGTTATATATGGAAAAGCTACCTCTGCTGAAACGTGTATCGAGTGTTCTTTCTCCTGCTAATGTGTTTGATGTTTACCTTTAGATTATGCCTTCCCATACATCATACTGGTGTTGTCTTTGGTTACACTGGCTGTGTATATGTCTGCGTCTGAAGTGGAGGTAGGTAAACATGTTTTTGTATTATAACTCAACTACAAAATACTTGAATTTGAGGAGAGACCACTTTGTCTCTTGCCTTTCCTCAGCTGTGTATTCTACGTTTAAGCCTCTTTATGACTCCTGTGAGCTGGAGGAAGCTCCTGCGAGACTTCCCTCTTGTGGTGCACTGAGAAACTGTTCTGTGCTGGAACCCAGGAGGCTTCATGCAGTCTCCGTGTGCTACCTATAACACTCTTAAACATCAGGTACTAGGTAAGGGGCTGAATGCTAATAGGGTACTGTATTTATTTTTCAAGTCTTTCAAGGATCTTCTTGTGAGGAAGAAAAGGCTTGTTGTCCTCTTCAGCCACTGGTTACTTCACGCCTATGGAATCATCTCCATTTCCAAACTGGATAAGCTTGAGCAGGACCTGCCATTGCTTGCCTTGGTACCTGCACCTGCCCTCTTCTACTTGCTGACAGCAAAGTACACCGAGCCATCGCGCATACTCTCGGAAGGTGGAAATGGACACTGAAAGTAGCCTGTGCCAACAACACTGTCCCGATCTGAATTAAGCAATTTTAGTGCTTGTTACGTTTTGGAAACTTCTGTTTTAAAAGAAGTTATTTATGAACTGGACTTCTAGGTGAAACACCTGAGCGAGACTGGAGGATATAAAAAAAGCTGCACTTTGTATTCTTCATAAGTATCTGATATAGATGGAAGGGAATGTCCTTGTATCTATTTATCACTGTGAATCTGTATAAAAAGCTTGTGACACATTCTAGTATAGGGTTTGCTTGTGTATGTTTGTTTCTTAATACAGTATTTTAGGTGGTGTTTGAATAAAATGCTAGGGTTTTCAGTAGACTTTCAATGAGACAAATAGGGTCTTTTCCGTGTATTGTCCAGGAAGATACCCAAAGCATGTATCCTCTATCTAAGTCACCAGTAATGTAGTGCTATAGGTGGTCTAGAAGATGCAGAGCAGTACTGAAGGTCTAAACACAGAAGGAAGAGCAATAGGAAACATAGTCCTCTGTTTTCTCATCGTGTACTCCACCAGTGGAAATAGACTTCTCCTTCCATCAGAAAATGATTCCTTATGATGGAAGGTGGAAAGAGAGGAAATGCATTTTCACATTCTCTATAGAAGTATAGTTTATGCTCTATGTACTTCATGGAGATGATTAAACAGTAGTATCCTTCCCACTAACTCCATTTTCATATACCTTGACTATAAATTTCCTTCTGACATCAGACTAAAGATTTTATTTTCTGACACCTACCAGGAAAACTGCAATGCATTAACTATGTATGGGTAGAATCGCTTCTGCCCCTTTCAGCACAGCCCCCTGGCTTCCTCCTGTGAGTGTGCTTCGTGCCTGTTTCATCATTTATTGGTGCCAACAGCTCACATCTCATGCTGTGTGGTGCAGCTGTACCTACACTATGGCAACAGCAGTGGTTGTAGAGGAGTGGAGGTCAGCAGCTGAGAAAAGAACAGCTCTTTATGCTGTATCACCGCTGCAGTGACAGAAACTTTTGGGGTGGCTAAAGTACAAAACCAGCACAGATTTAATAAAAAGAATTGCAGATTCCTTATCTCCTTAAAGAGATACCATTATCTCTGCTCTAAATTCAACAAAATCTTTATGTGAATGCCCAGTAAGAATTGCTAGAGCTTCTGAGGCTGTTCAGAAATGAGCTTTTTGCTTTGATGAAGCCGAATTTCCACTGACAAACTCCAGTCTTTTGTCTGTGTTGTACAGGAAGATACTCAAAGCATGTGTCCTGTATAGTAGTCACCAGTGGTGTAGTGCTATAGAGGGTCTAAAGGAAGATGCAGAGCGGTACTGAAGGTGTAAGCACAGAAGAAAGAGCAATAGGAAGATCTTCTCAAACTCTTAACTACTGTATAGATGATTTGTAAATAACTGTATATTTCTATGTTTAAGTATGACAGTAATGCCTTTTTTTAGTCCATTACCTATCAACACTGTTAATGACAGACCCCCACCAGCAGCTCAGGGGCATTGAGGGGTGTCATCTTGGCCAGGCTGCCTCGAGATGTCGCTCTGCTCTTTCTCCACGGGAGGTTTTGATTCCATTACAGCAGATTTGCCTTTCCTGATGGCTTTTTTCCTGTGAAATACCAATTGATGGGTTCAGTGCTTCTTAAAATCTAGGTCTTGCATGCAGAAGTAAGGTTGTGTTTAGGGATTAAGGAAGTAATTGATCTCCTTATGGAGATTGATTGCTGCCTATACTGCTACCGCACAATATGTAAATTTTTTGCATATTAGTCACACTAATCTAGAAGACAGTTCTAAAATATGGTTTTAAAACTTGTGTTAAAATACCATTTTCACAGCTGACAGACTCATAGGCATATTATCTTTAAAATAACCTAGCCAGTTTTGTGCTTATATTTGCATGGCTCTTACTAGTACAGGGACAGTAGGCATGGGAGCAGCCAGTGCAGCACCATGCAGGAAAAAACATTTGCAAAGGTGCAGCAGTAAGGACTGTTCACTTTTATGTGCAATACTTGAGTTCAATGTTGGGCTATATCTTGTTTTTAAAAAGAAAAGTAACAACTTGTCCCAGGAAACATTAGTTGTAGTAAGGATTACATCTTTTGCTAGGTCTAGAGGATTACATCTTTTGCTAGGTCTAGAGAATCCCATGTTAATTTTGAAGGCTGCAGAATGAGAGACTTTCTTAAAAGCAGAGCTTATGGGCAGTGCACCCCATGGAGCTTGCATGGCATACCCAAACACTGACCTTCCTGCCAGGCTCCAGCACTTTGGCATTAAGCAAAACCTGGAATGTAAAATACTAATTAATAAACTCTTTCATCAGCTTCTCTCACTAACATTAAAATAAAAAGAAAAAAGTAATGGCAACCAAAGGCAGATGCAGATGCATAAATACATGCTGTTTGGAATAACCAAGCAGTGGTTTTGTGCAGGCTTCTTGTGAAGAAACCAGCCCTGCACTTTTCACAGAAAAAAATATTGGGGCTTCAGTTGAAGCAGGATTCTCCTTTACTGTATGTGTGTTCACCATCCTTCCCCTCTCTGCCTAAGTTCCTTCCAGGGCATTCCCTTCCACTATAAATTCATCATTCCTCTCCCTGGTTTCCTGCCACATTACCCAGACCCAGTGATTTCAAAGTAGCCTGTATGCCGTGGCCTTTCAGCTATAATAGGTATAAGAAACACATCCTGTAACAAGACAATGGTCATATTGTGACCAAACCTGTGGCTCATTACAAGCGAGACCTCTGTAAATCAACAGCTAAAGGAGATACCTATAGCATTTGAGTTAAAAGGATGCTTCAAAGCAAGTGATTTGTATGTGCCAAGGCCCCTGGATAGTATCACCCCTGCCCAAGACTAGAGTATAAAATATTGTTCATTTAAATGTCAGTCCAAATTGCCCACATGCCAGGGAAACCTTATTGCAGCCTTTCAGTTCTTGAAAGGGGCCTATAAGAAGGATGAGAAGAGACTTTTTAGCAAGGCCTGTTGCAACAGGATGAGGGGCGATGGTTTTAAACTGAAAGAGGGGGGATTCAGGCTGGATGTGAAGAAGAAATTCTGTACAATGAGGGTGATGAAGTTCTGGCACAGGTTGCCCAGATAGGTGGCACCATCCCTGGAGATATTTAAGACCAGGCTGTATGTGGTTCTGGACAACCTGATGTAGATGAAGACGCCCCTGTTCATTGCAGGGGGGTTGAACTAGATGACTTTTGTGGGTCCCTTCCAACCCAAACTATTCTATGATCCTGTGTAAAATTCTAGAGAACATAAACATTAATTAGCCATATAGTCCTACAGCAATAACCATGCAGCCACAAGCTGTGGAAGTTGGAGGTCTGCTAGTTTTAGTTATCCTTTGTGGAAAAGCAAACACAGTTCTGGAAATGTCAATGATGCCCAGGCCGTTTTACAGCCCCCTCACTGTTATTATCACAACCCATTAGTAAGTGTAAATAAAAGATGATAATATCCAGGCTGTTATGAAGCATGTCTAGTTCTGCTAATAAATGTACCACTAGATCTCAATCTGGTGATTGGATACAACATGCTGCATTACTGGGGTTCTATCACAAAGTGGTGAGAATTAACCTATTCTGGGATTAAAAAAGAAAAAAAAAAGAGTGGAAAAGAAAAAGTTTAGTCTATTTTGCTGTCATCATCCAGTTTAGATTTTTGGACAAGCAGAGAATCCAGTCCTTCCAGGTTATTTTGCAGCCTGCTATTAATATCACCAATCTTTTCATCTTGTTGCTGAATTTTTGTTGTTAGAGCTGTCATTGTGTTCAGTAGTTCCTGCTCATCCTCCAGGAATTCCTGTAATGACACAGAGCAGAATTTTTCTTTCTTCATAAAAAACCCCCAAAAACAACACCACCGCCAAAAAAACCTCCACAGACAAAAAACACCCCACCAGAACCTCACAAAGTGTCAAGAAACCTGTTTTGTTTTCCCATGACTTGACTAACCTGTAGCTCTGCAGGAAGTTTTTCATCAGCTACTCAATCCTTGCTTAAAAAAAAAAAAGCAAAGTTTGCCTTTCTAACTGGTGAAAAACTTTCTTACATTATAGTTTGGTTAAATTCCTCTTCAAAATGAAGGCCATCCTTGGGCATCCCCAACTGGAAAAATATTACAAGGCTGATGAATTGAACGTAGAACAGCAAGTGTGTTGTTAGGTACAGGTTTAAGAAAGGCTTGAACATAAGACCAGCAAAAGGAACAATAGCAGGAAAAATTATTTTTATAGCCAGGACTTCTATACAATGCTGCAAAGCACAGGTTTAGTACCTTGCCCTGTTTGACTTCAAAGGCTGTAATGGCTTAGTTGCAAAATGCAGTTTCATTTTTTTTAATATAGTATGTGAAATATATTTAAGCAAACAGGTACAGTAGAAAACTGAAATTCACCTTTTGAATAAAGCTCTCCTCTGACCACCCCTTCTGAAGATGATCTACAACAGAGTCAGCAGTTAAAATGTGACAAATTGCTGTGCCAAAAAAAAAGACAAAAGGACTGACAGATATTCTTCAAATCATGTAAGTGTTTTGTTTCAGAATAGTTATTAATATGTTACCGTGAAGCACTGAGACGTCTTTCAGGATTTTGCCTATTGCTGACTTGTGTTTTTCTGCTTCAGAATTCATTGCAAAAACATCTTCTTTCATCTGTGCATTGCGCTGGGAAAAAAGATAATTATACTTGCCAATAATTTCCAAACAGTTTTACTGTTTCTAGAGAGATCAGGAAGAATAAGCTGAATATTAGCTTACAGAAATACAAAGGTTAATGTATTCCTCTGGACACGCTTTCTTTCAACAACAGCATCCATTTAATCTTCAACAAGTTTTAACAAATTTTAACAGTTGCCAAATTCAACACAAGCCAGCTATGTCTGTGCTACCAAATAAATGGATGAGGATGCTGGGAATAGCCAGAGCAGCACAGGCTGTGTGCCAGCAGGGAAACTCTTCCTCACTCACTCCCCCAGAATAGGATGGCCTCATTCACATTGGATCAGCTCTACAAGTACTCAGCTGGTCCTGTCCCAGATTTGGCTGAAATGTGTCAGTTGGCCCACATCAGGCACAGTAAAGAGCATTCCCTGGTGCAATATAGGTGTCGGAAAATCAGAGCTCCTTAGCTTCTGTTAGTGAATTGAACATGAGGAGAGGGATGCTTGTAGCATAACCAAGAGTTTTCTTCCTGAAGGAAGTCTTTGTTTCCATAAGGGTATAGTCTGATAGAGCTGCAGAGTAGCTGGTATGTAGTACCTGCAGTGCTAGCAGGCACAGACTCTGGCAGCTGCCCTTACAGCAGTAGAGCTCTCTGCTTGCAGGAGCAAACAGTGCACAGGGTTCACATCATCTCAGAAATGTAGTCCACATGGCTGCACAAATGCGGGTTCGGGTCTGGATCACAGTCTGGTAATAGCAGGCAGTAAGACCACTTTTGCTTCATATATTTTACTGGGAAGGAGATTCTACTACTCTCATAGCCTAGGGCCCAAAAGGTATACAGGATATTTTCAAAAGCGTATATTCCAAATCGCAGAGGCCTATTTTACACCTCTTGTTCATCTCGGGCCCCTTCACACAAGCAGGAGGGCCTTTTCCTACAATCCCTGCCTCAATGCAGCAGATACACTACATTGATTATGCCTCAGGGAGATGCCTTCCCCTTGGATGTTCATCTTTGCTTCCTTACAAATTAAACACAGCCCCACAATTTCATTTAAAAGGCCAGGTTTGCCTTGTGATGTTTATGTTTTATCATCTTCCATGGTCAGTTCTCTGTGAAATGAAAAATGAACACACTGAGAAGGAATACTGTCAAGCTTGAATATACTCACTAATTTGAATCTGCAGTTCTCGGTGTACACAATGTCAATTTTCCTGTTGATCTCATAGATGTCTCGTGCTAGCAGCTTCATAGACTCTGTGTGGTTTTTCAACTGGGTAACTGCAGCATCACGCTTCATTCGCAATTTATTCTTCAGCTCCAGCTGTTAATAATAATATCTTCATTGATAACTTATTTTTATATAGGATTTTTGGTATTAAATAAAGTGAAAAGTAGTTTGGTTATGTGACAGCTTTCATTTTAAAATTTCAAAGTACCATCTGAGACAGCCCTCTTACCAGTGAGGAGGAAGAGACACAGCATGGGGAAACAATTGCTTATGGTCCTCAAGAAAGGAATCAGCTCTGACATGAGGTGAACTTTCTGCTGCAGGGTCAGCCAATGACAGGAGCATATTTTTTCTGTCACCTGAGGCTCAGGAGTACATAACTGTTTTGTTGTGCTATTTTTATTCTAATACGGTTGGAGAAACAGGTCTCCCTTTTCTAAACAGACCACTGGAGCATGAATCCTGCATCTGACCAGCCTCGTAAGATCCCTTTATGTAGTTTACTGAGCTTGTCCTATGCTCCTCAGTAACTAGAGGCACTTGAATTCTTCCTAGTAGAAGCAGGTGGTGTGACTGTGTTCCTTTCCCACCTAATATTTTTGATGTGGCAGAGAAACATAAAGCAAAAGCAATCTGATTGTTAGTCTGGGATGTACAGCCCAGCTTCAGGCATTTTGAACTGTTCTGACTGCCCCAACAGGTATACCAGTTTCTCTCTCTTCGTGCTGGTGCTGATTGAATGCCTCAAGTCAAAAATGAGAAGAACAGGTAAAGAGGCAATGCTACAGAAAAGTTTTTCAAATATGTGTTACTGAAGTAGCAGAAATTCCTGCCCTTCAAGTAGCAAGAACCTGAATAGAAGCAGGTTCACAAATGCCCTCAGTTCACCAGCTTCTTTTTGACTTGCTCACATATCTAAGGAAAGCAAAATCAAGTAGAAGGGCAGCTCGATATAAATTCTGGGTTATAGGCTGAGCTGAGGTCTCAGCCACCCCCCAGATGAGAGCACAGCAACAGAGAGGTAGGTAAGGTCCCAGCCTGTCTCCCCTGGTCCCAGTCTCCATGAGTGCCTAGTCTGTACCAGGAGGAAATAAAGCTGGTGGTGGAAACACTGCAGAAGTACTACAGCTAGTTTTCACTTATTACCATGTCCTTCTTGAGCTTCCCAGTAGTTTCGATTGACTGCTGAATGGCTCTTGTGGCTCGTACCTCTTCATCTTTCTTTTCTACAAAGCAGAGAAAGGGTTGCCCAGAGAAGCTGTGGCTGTCCCATCCCTGGCAGTGTCCAAGGCCAGGCTGGACGGTGCCCTGAGCAACCTGGTCTAGTGGAAGGTGTCCCTGCCTGTGGCAGAGGGGTTGGAACTAGATGATCTTTAAGGTCCCTTTCAACCCAAACCATCCTATGATTTTTAGACAGTATTAAGATTAAACATTAGAGTTAAGGTGTTATAAATAAAATTAGGTTCTATCAGTGACTTGTTTAAGTCACTGTTATTTTTTTCTGAAATGGTTTATTTTCCTGTTATGGCCAGGTCTATAGATTTCAGTCGTTGCAAAGAATTCAATTTATATATGTTTCATGGTTCACCTGAACCATAGGCAGACACAGGGTTATGGCACACTTTTTTTGGAAACAACAAGAGAAAGCCCCACAATGTAGAGGAGCTACTTAGTACTCACCTAAAAAAGATTTGTTTAGGTCTTCATACTTTGTATGCTTCTCTTCTGTTTCTCTCTGGGCTTCTTCCAAGGTTAGCTTGCTTATGTTTAATTCTTGTTCTTTTTTAAGTAAATTTTCAGTTGCATTTTTGATGTCATTCTTTAATGAAACTAAGTATTAATCAAAAATCTATCTAAGCAGCATTTAATGCATTAATATCTTAACATATCCAGAGGGTGGGAGGGGGAACAAAGCAAACAGAACAGAGAAAAGAATACTGAAAGTGATCCCAAGAGGTCATCTTAGTCCATCTCTCTGCTCTACAGAAGAATCAATTAGACCTAAGTATCCACAACAGATGTTTAATTTGTCCTTAAAAACCCTGGTGGTAGAGATATCATGACTCAGACAACTGATTCCATGGGTTTATTATTTGTGCCGTGAGTGCTTTCTTAGGGCCTTTTTCTTAAGTTAAATCTCTTCTGTTCCATGTTACTTGTCTCAAAAAGTAGACAGGGAGAAAAGCTTATATCTTGCTATGAATTCTTATTTATTTGGTAGTTACTGCCATGTCTTCTTTTAGATTTACCTATTTTAAATGGAAAAACTGTACATTTCTTAACCATTTTTTGATCATCTTTACGGAATTCCTCTTGGATCTCAGAATAATCTACATCCTCCTTTAAATGAGGTGATCAATACCAGACACAGTACTCCAGCTGTGTCCTACCAAAACCCGATAGAGTAGAGAACGTACTCCATAAACCTTGCCAGGATATCTGCCTTCTTACACAGACTGGTGTGACAATTGCTTTTTTCAGTACAACAAATCTTTGTTGACTTATGTTCAACTTTTCAGCTTTAGTTCCATTTATCACTGCCTAAATATCTGACTCATGATAGATTTGTACAGACAACTCTTTCCACCTAAACAAAAAAATATGGATGATAAGGATAATTATTATTAATGCCTTTCCCCACCCAACTTACTTACTTTTCCAACTTGCAAAAATAACTCTGAAGTCTAGTTCTGCCCTGCAAAGGGTGCTCCCACTCTTATTGTGCTTGTCATGTACAGATATGATAAGCAGTTGCTCTACCCTATCACCTGAGCCATTAAGGAAAGAACAAATTAATTCCAGTATGAAAGTAGACCTCTCACAATCTAACAGAGACCATAATTCTATTTTGTCAGTAAAGCATGGGTAACTATTATCTATAATGATGTTTTTGTACCTGGGATTCTTAGCCTGAAAAAGCGACAACTGAAGGGACATGCAACAAACTTATGTAAAAAACACACACCTTTGCTGAAGAAAATGAGAAGACAACAGTTATTCACTGTTTCTCATAACCCAAGAATAGCAAGATGCCAATAAGCTTTTGAGATAGCAGGTTTAAAACAAAACAAAACTATTGTCCTTATTAAATAAATGATATGTTATAGGTCAATATGGAGGCTAAATATATATGTGAGCTAAAAGAATCAATCAGTGATAGGAGAATATTGCACTGAAGATCCAGCATAGCATAAAATTCTATCAAAAGCTATTAAATGCAGATACCATCTCCATCAAAAGAAGTTCCTGACACTTCATTTGTCACGGAGATTATACAGAAGAAGGGTCATTCTATATTGGCTGTTATTACATTACTTCTTCAAGCAAGACTATTGATCACTGCAGAAGACAGGATCCTGGTAGACCTAACATTGTGTCTTACCCAGTATGGTTATATTGGGAACTGAAGTTGATTTAAGCTTCACTTACCTATTCTTGATGTGCAATTAAATACAATCATGAACAGCTCTGAAATGGCTTCAGCCACTTCACTGCCTGAAGGTGAATTTCATTAGACTCAGATGATCTGAAGGTATTTGAGTTCTCTAGGTACACTTGCCAACTACTTCCTTTCTTATTGTTGCCAGAGATGTTAATTTTCTGATGCTAGTGTTAGTATACTAGGCATCTGATTCTGCTGGCCCACCAGTGAAGCAAAATAAGTATTTTCTTGTCTTACCATAAACATGGAGTGCTTTCACATTATTCCACATAGCCTTTCCTTTCAGCATCTCATTCTGTGGCTTGACCTGCCTCATGTTGTTGATCTATGCCAAGCCATAAGCATATTTTTTCAATCATACTAATATTTTTTTAATACATTGTATTAAATGTAGTTAACTACAATGGTCCTGGATCTGAGCTGTACATCCCCCTGTAGCAGGTCTGCACAGACTTACCAGCCTGGGAATATTTGTACTCTTACATCAGCATGGGGAAAAAGAACTATTAGCTCTTAAAGACTAAGCAGATTATCACCTAAACACCATTAAAATGCTGTATGTTTTAATCTTTCTCTGTGTCCTTCCTTAGCTTTAAAAAATATATGACCTTTGGTTTTAAAGCAAAAAAAAAAACCCAAAAAAACCCCCCAAAAAAACCCAACTAATTTGATGCATATGCATCTTTCAGCACAGTGGAATCTCACCTTGCTTAGGGCCAATAAAACACAAGTCACAAGTTAAATGACTTTTCCCTTGAAAAATACATGTGTACTCTTTTGCTGCACTAGGTAAAGACAGAAATGGAGAACAGGAACAACCTACATAGACTGGGAGACTTGAAGAAAAATATTAAGAGAGAGACAACATGATACCCAGTAACTAAAGCCTTACAAAGAAATGAACTGGAGCCCAGGATGTGAAGTAACACCAGGACTCTGAACTCCTTCTTTACAGGACAGTAATGTCAAACGCAGCACAACACATTTTTGGTCCTTCTCAGGCTCTGAAGTCAGGTATCCACTTCTGTGATCAAAGACTAGAAATATCAGAAAACCTCAAAGTATAGAAATACAGCTCATGAGTCTTATTTTAAGATTTTTTTTAAAGGACTGTAGCAGAAAGATGGCTAAAAAGAATGAAAAAAACCCCTGGAAAATATTGAGAACAGAAGAAACGGCTCCCTTAGCAGAAACAGGTGCATGAAGAAGGCAGAGAAGGAAAGGTGATCTGAGTCTCATTTCTATGAACTTCTTTGATGTCATGCACCATCATGCTCTGAACAGAGCAGAATTAACCTAAACTGACACGACTCTTGTAAAGGAATTTATTCCCCTTACACAGGCCACCTTCATGAGAGAGCATTCAGAGAGTATCATTTTGCAGCTGAAAATAGTGAAGAGCAAGTATGTGAAAATACTGAAAGCTCCAAAAGAAAAACTGGGAAGAAAAATAAAAAGCAACTTCAATTGTTTCATCAAAATGATAGGAAATGAAAGCAAAGTAGGAAAACAGTTAACAAAGGAGAAAATCTCCTTTGTTAACTGTAGTTTGTTTGTTAAGAAGTGTGTCACTGAATGAAAACAAAGAGTTACAATCACTTTTTCAACCTGGCTCTGTCCATACCACAAGGGAAAGGGCAACCCTCTCATAGCAGTTTTATTAACACTATTTTAGATGGGGGGAAAACTCTTTTAGAATGGACTATATTAAAGAAAAGACAGAGAAAGTATCAAAGTATATTTAGCATCTCTTGCATATACTGCATAGCTTAACTGCCAGGTAGAGCATGAGAATGAATCCAGCACAAATGCTTGCTTAATAGTGACAGTCTCAGCCCTCAGATTTTTAGGGAAGCCTGAGCAGCTACATGACCGTAACTATATTGCATAATGTGGGAGCATAACTTCTCACCAGCAAAATGAGAAAGATCCTCAAGGCCGCCTGTAAATCTGCCTTTCCAAGGTCAGACATACAAAGAGGATATTTCTTACACTCCTGACATCTGATTTATTCTACCTCAAGCCAGACTGTTGAACAAGAGTCCAGCTTTTTCCTGGGGATAGAGCATATACTATATCCCAAAGACCAGAGAAGCACTTGAAAACTTTGAAAGCTCTGAGCAATTAATACTCAGCATTTCAGCACCCTACTTTCTTTAGGGAAAAAAGCTCATCTCATCAGTGTTTTAAAGAATGTTGACACTAAGTAGCTTGGGTTATGCCTTGCACACCACTCTGATAGATTTACAATAGTAATTTAGAGGAGACCTTGACCAGGGTCTAAAATCAAGCTCTCATATTGCTGTGAATGTTGGCCTGTTCACTGAAAAATGATGAAACACTCTACATTAACAGGTTACACACTGGGAGGCTCACTCCAAAGCTAAATAGGATCTATCTCAGGACTGAATCTAGTCCTGCACAGACTTTTATTTTAAAATGGGAGGCACCCCTTCTGAGAAACACCTTCTCTGTATTCTTTTGACATAAATGCCCATAGGTACAGGAGTATATATGTACACATATATGGTTGTCTAATGATTCCAGTGTCTCAATCTGAAGGTTTTAAGTTCTTTTGAACATTATTTTTAAAAAAACAAAACAAAACCAAAACCCAAAACCCAAAACCAACAAAACCCCAAACCCTACAAGAAACCACACCAACCTAAAAAGTAGAGGATTTTCTTGAAACAGTTACTGACACAATGGAGCACATTCAAGCATAGCTCCAATGAGCATAGCTGCAACAAGGTGCAACAAACATTGCCAATTCATCCATCAAAAATCTTCCCGAGTTTGATAAAAAGAACAACGAAACTTACCTCCAGACATTTTATTTTGTTAGCAAAATCCTTGTTATAATTCTTGTAATAATTTTCCTTCTTACTTGCTTCTTCACTCAGGACTTTGAATTGGTTCTCAGACTGAAAGATTTCTTCCTCAAGGTGTTCAATCTCATAATGGAAAGCAAAATGAAGGTCAGTGATTTCTGAAATATATAGTGTCTACCTGGACCACTCAGAAATAAGCAATTAGTGCAAAATGAGAGCAATCCACATTCAAAACATAACATCTTCTAAGATAAATAATCACTTTTAAATTGATATTAATAGGAGTTAAAGTCAGATTATAGAATCACAGAATGGTTGAGGTCAGAAGGCAATTCTAGAGGTCATCTTGTCCAACCCCACTGCTCAAGCGGGGCTACTTAGAGCCAGTAGCGCAGGGCCATGTCCAAGTGGCTTTTGAATATCTCCAAGAATGGAGATATTTAGATCTTTAGATATTGAGGATCTTTAGACCTCATAGGTTTAAAAGCTTACAAAAAATTGGCCCTTGGAGTTTACTTACTTAGGTACCAGTTTGCTGTTATTACATACAACATGAATGCATTGTAACACTAGATGTAGTAGGTAATAATACCTGCTGTTTAACATACCTCTGCAAGTAGTTCAGCGTGTCTTTTTTTACCAGCTTCTATTCTTTCATTCACTTTTCTGTTTCTGTTCTCTTCTACTGAGAAAAAGAGTTCTCTCTGCATTGCTAAGTACAGCAGTTTCCACTGACATATTACTCTGGTAACAGATACATAAGCAGAAATAAGTTTAAATTGGGAGAAAAACAGAGAAGGGAGACAAAGCATTCTCAGAGGCACTACAAGCCTGATTTAAGAGGTTAGAAGACTCAGTTACTTCTGTAAATTCAGGATTACAATCATTTGTCTGGGATCCTGACAATATCTAGGAGATGCATAAAAAGACATAAAAACCTTTTGAAGTGCCTCTCTCTTTTTATTGAACATGGAGGAGGAGTCTTAAGGTGACTAGTCTCACTTAAGTGCCTAAAATTAGTCTGGACCAAGTAATTTGGTTAATTTAGTGTAGCAAATTGGAAGGCTGTGAAGGACAAGATTTCATGTTCATAAAACCCCAGTGTTTGTAAATTATGAAAATGATAAAAGGCAACACATATAAAACCAAAAAGGCACACTTGTCTCTGTGAAAATGCAAACTGGAAGTCAGAAAAAAATATTTTTAGTCATCAAAGGAATAAGATTTTAGAATGAAATATTACTGAGAGTAAGGGGAGGGGGGGGAAGCAACGATAGGGTTTTGGATTGATCATGTTTGCGTTTTTTTGAAGTCAAAAGTATGATGTAGTATTTGGAAGAGAAACACACTGGACTAGATGACCATGAAATCTCCATAGCTCTTTGCACCTTACATGACAGAATAATCAAATGAGAAGTCAGAGCTGCAGAGAGAGTCTGAAGTAGCTGAGCAGACAACAATTTTATTTTTGAGAGTATCCTATCAACTGCAGGGGGCTAAGCACTTTCCTGAATCCACTTTTCCACCTTGCCAATAATAAAGTGGAGGTATTCATGGAAGAAAAAAAACAAACTATCAATCAAATACATAGGTCTCAGCATCTTGAAAAGAAGGTATTTTCATATAGGTGTGGAATGATAACACCTCAAAAACTAGATACAAAATCCTGATTTAGACAAACAGTATGAGCAGACTCCCAAGAGCTGCAAATAAAATCTAGCAGCTGCAGAGAAATCCAAAACTAGCAGAAAAGCTTTATAACGAACAATCACTTGGATTTATCTCACTCAAGGCTTTTTCTACAAGTACCTCACTGTGGGTAAACATGCGAGCATATATGAACTACTTCATAGTGGATATTCTGAATATAGATAAAATAACCCCTGGTCTTCCTGTGACCTTTGTGTAACATGCTCCTTACAATACTTTCCAAAGAATTTCCTAAAAAGAGAGAGACAGTAGAAGACACGGCTAAACTAATGAAAAATAAGTAAGCCCAAGGAAGAGAGGTTAAATAACTGAAAATGCAAGGTTATCTCATTCTTACTAACCCTGTCAAAGGGTTTGTCTATATAACATCTGGAACTCCAGATATCACCAATCTAGTGACCTGATTTTGAAAGGCATTCAGCAACAAAGCCACCATACTTCCCAGCTGGAGCTGTGGGCACTTGATACTGCAGTGAACTGAGACACTTTGTTTTTCACATTGAATTCAATGACAAAGCTCTCACTGACTCAAAAGTGCGGGATCAGCTACCAATGAACATTCATTGAATATAATAATATAAATAACAATAAATAATAAATAAATGGGAAAAAAAATCCCACCAAACCAAATTGAAAAAGCCCCTGAACCCAACAGTTTACAGTTTATGTAAGTGTACATATCCTGGGAAAATCCCAAATAGCTTGTAAAATAAAGTCAAACATCAGCTGTACCAATGATCAAAAGCCATTTATATGGTAAATTGAGTGGTGCTTACCACTTGGCAGTAAAGCAATAATATTCAAATGAAACCATGGATATACTTGAGGAGATGTCCTTTTATTTGCCATTATATCACTGAATATTTACATAGTAAGGCTTTAGTTTTATATTTCTGATGTAATAGCAGCAACAAAATGCAGTAATTAATTAATTTGCTGCTTTGTTTTCAAGATACAGTGCAAACTTTCTAGTTTATCCTACCTTGTCTTATTTTCTGCCTTCAGATCTTGCTCTAGAGATGCCAACTGTTCTGCATAGCTCTTCTTGATATTTCTGGGCGGAAGGGGTGAAGGGGGGAAAATAAACTTTGAGAAATAATGCTGAAGACTTGGAGAGTGCTTACTTTATGTCGAAATTTTAGTACAGTTTTCCAGTATTTTCTTCTCACCAACCAACATGCTAAGCACTTGCATTAGTTGGAGAGAGGCAATATGGTACTTATGAGTTCCATCTCAAGAAACTACACATATTACAATGTGTTAACACATTATTGCTTCTCAGGTTGGAAACATCAGTTTAAAATTAAGAGGCTTTTGTTAGGAACCAAGGCAAATCCAGGAGTATTTTTTTCAGGTCAGAAACAATAAAATAATGCAATAGACAAAACCAGATGTTTCAGAAATGAACAACTGTCCTAATGTATTAGTAGCAAGTACTACAAGAGTATTTTCAGAAGCAGGACTTGTGACCAGATGGACAAATCAATTTATTTTAATTTCTTAGTATGCAATTTTTAGTATATTATATGTGATAAATATGAAAATGCATGAACTTTATGTGTATTCCACCCATTCTAGGAGAGTTCAACAATAAAGTGGTTGGCAGCATAAAACCGGTGATACTCACTCCTTCAAGACAGAAAGGTGGTGGGAAGAGCCTGCTCCAAACCCCACGTGGATTTACAAAGAGATAGTATGGAACTTTCTTCCAAAGGTTTTATTGTTCCAAATGCAATGCTAAATGTATCAAGCCAGCATTGCAAAATAATTAAATAGTTGCAGAATATGTCTCAGATAATTCGTAGAAAACCCTGAAGAATTATACTTCTATTCCGTACTTTCCAAATCTACTTTCATTATTGCCGACTTGGTGGGTTTCTCAGTTCAGTGGGTTTAACCAACTGAAGAGTGCCCTCTTTGAATGAAATCTGACTTAATTTGAAATTGCTCATTAAAGAAACAAATAATTGGCCAATCTCGTAAGGTGAATGGTGAGATTCTGAATAGATTGCATATTACTTTTAGAAAAAATAAAATTAACATGAGATCTTAATTTTGATTTCCAGTTTGGTGGCCCTGTTAAAGTGACTGGGAGGTCTGTGTGATGTACACTGAAATTAAATTGAGTTTGATATAAAGGGATGTTGTGAAGCCAGTAAAAATGCACAGAACAAGATAATTATGCACAAACAAAAAATAAGAACATAGGAAAGTACAGGGACAGGGCTGGCAGAAGGGAATTTTCAATCAGTTTTCCTAAGAGGTCAGAGCTGCAATGCATTTTGTTCAGTTCCATGTAGTCTAGTTTAAAAGTGTGAAATTAAGAGCTGATTCACTTTTGGAGAAAGCTCTTACAAGCCTTTCATTTATTATTGTTAGTGTAGATATGGAACTAGCATCAAGATCCTGTGCAATGATTATTTCATCTCTTATCTTGTTGGCTTAGTTTTATACTGTAGACTCTATTGCACTTCCACTACAAATTCTCCTCCTTTTTAGCAGTGCATGGCTACCTCCTTCTTAGCAGTATGTGGCTACCTCCTCCTTAGCAGTGTGTGGCTACCTCCTCCTTAGCAGTGTGTGGCTACCTCATGGTCTTGTTTTTTTCATCCCACAGTTACATGGCAACAATATCCCTTTCAGACACTCATGAAGATGAGAATGCTTTTCCTACAAAGCAGAGTAAATGTGTTGTATATTTTCTCATTCAGTATGAAAAGAGAGGTGAGGGATTATTTTCTTACTTTTTAGTTATAATTACATCCATAAGTAGGGCAACTCCACATTAACAAATCATTCCTCAGGAGGATTTAGATAGCAGGAAGACCCTAGGAGCGCAGCCCCTTCAGTGCCACACTGTGAAAAAATTGCACAGAACCAGCACTAATGGTGTCACTCAAAACACAGTGTGTGTGCAAATATTTGGCTCTCCTAGGTTTGAGGGATGTAAGGTTAATTGTCTGAACCTGAAAACTTTCTCTTGCAAAGAATGACACTCCAGCAGAGAAAAAAGAAAGGCTCTCCCTTTTGTCAGGATTAACCTTCTTACAAGACAGAAATTCGTTATTAGTGTACAATATAAGGCCTTGCTCTCCTGATTCTCTAGCAAATAAAGGAACTGGATCCAAAGCAGGATATCTGGGGTCAGAACACACAGGCTTGTCCTCACCTATGGTAGCAAAATCCCAAATCTCTTCCACCAACTACAGGCTAATAGAGAGCTCTAATGCTTTGGCCACACTCCTCCCAGACATACCCCACTGCATAAGGCACAAGGAGTCTGTTCTGCTTAGACTACGCAAGATGATTTATTTTTCAGAGCACTTCTGTGCACAGGGCAAATCTGTGCTTACTAGATTTATCTGAGTAAAAGCAGATTTTCTTAGATGCCACCATAACAAACAGGTAGTTTGCTTGGTCCAAGACCTGGTACCACAGTATAGAGTTCACAATCACAACTGTTAGTGAAGTTTTACATTTTGCACTGCTTCAATACCCTTCATTACCTGTAGGTTCATTGCTTGTGATAAGAAACCACAGATTAAATTAGGGTAACTGGCAGCTAACCTCTTTGTTGTATGAAAATCCATACCAGCCTACTAGAACAGTTTACAAACCCATTTAACTTCCGTACTGAATGTTACATTTCAGTATCTCTTTAATCAGCTGAACTGCTGAGCAAACAGTAGCAAGACCATTTACTATTGTCAGTATTTAAAGATTACATACAGTAGGCTGACTTCAAGATTTTCATTTTTTTTCTCTAGGCGTTTCTTTTTCATCACAAGATTTTCCAGAGATTTAAGCTTTTTCTTCAATAAAAAAGATAATTCTTCTGATCTACCAGAAGAAAAAAGAAATAAGTTAGATACTCTGTCAGCAAGAAAAGCCTTAGTAATAAAATCACAAACTTAAAAAATCTATATTCAAAAGCTGATGGGTAAAACCTACTTTGCCACTATCTCATCCCTTTCTATAGTCCAGAGCTGCTGTTCTTCCAATACTTGTTCATACTTTTGGCGCACAGTTTCATTTTCTAATTTCAGTTTTTTATTCAGGCATTTAGCATTACATAGATCTTCCTTAGTCTACAAATAAGGACCACAGATATTAGCTTATAATTATTTCTATTTTACTTTATAATAATATTCTATACTTCTATAGCGCCTTTAATAAAAAAATCTTAAGAGAACTTGACAACGAACAAAGATTGACAGCATATACGTAATTAACATACATGGATATCACATCAAGAACATGTTTCTGGATCCTCATTTCCATCGCCTCATTTAAACCAGCCACTCTTAAACGGCCTGCAAGCCATGTGCTGCTCCCAGACATATGGTACCTTGCTCCAGCTGGAGGTAGTGACTTCCACTGTATGGACTACAGAGTAATAAAGTGGAAATGGGGAAGGCTTGATGATGAAGGAACACTGGGATGGTGAGCTCGTAATACCAAGATGGAGGAAAGCAGGAGTCATGGGTCATGGCTGAAGGATGAAAGGGCAGGAAGATGGAAGAGAAAAAGGAAATAAGAAGATGACGACTGCAGTCCTGGCTTTTGATGGTAGGAATGCAGTAGAAGAGCAGGAAGAGTGGTCATGAGATGAGGAGAATGTGGCTCCCACCTAGTGCTGCCTAATGCCAATATCGCAGAGGTTTTAATGGACTAACATCTTGTTTGGTATGTACACCTCCGGAGGAGAGGTTAGGAAAGCAACTAGGAAACCATGCTAGATGTGTATAAAACCATACAAGATGTGTATAAAATCTACATAACAACAATGATCTCAGGCAGTTGGCACTTATGGAAAGCCATGTGTAATAAAAGCTAATAATTATGTAAAAAAGCATGGAGCAAGTAATCAAGAATGACTATTAAATCTGCACTCTCAGCCTCCTGGCCCAACTTCATCCTTTTTAACAAATCCCTTCATAATCTTCCTACATACATCTGTCTGCCCCATTCTCTTATATACTCCCTTCCAAATCAACATCCCCTAATCTCATAATCCCTTGCATCCGAGCACACAAGGCTATACATCCCCTCAAGTTCACCCCACCCCTCAATGCCCCTTAAGTCTTCCAACATCAGCCCATGGCCTTAGTTGAAGAGTAGATCTCACCCATACCTCCAGCATGAATTCGTAAGCACAGGCAGAGTAGAAGGTTGAGGTCATACACCCTCTAAATATTTGTGCCCCTTTTCCCTGCTTGCACTCATTTAAGCATAGAGGCACAGGCAAATCAAAGCACCTAAAGAACTTCATGTCACACTTCCTGCAGGCCCGTTCTCATCGACTATTTCAGCAAGACAAGGCCTATTACAAACTCTGAGCCACAATAAAAAAAAACCTCTTACTTTTTCAAGTTCCTTATTGAATTCTTCCTTTTCTTGGGCAATTTTTGATTGTAAAAGCAGTAACTCAGATTCAAGCTGAATCCTATTAAACAAAAACAACGTAGATGTATTTAGAGGGGATTAACAAAAAATACATTTTTAAAATTGATATAAAAATCATGCATTCTTACTCCTAGACCCCTCATGTTATTGCAAGTTATATCTACATATATTTGAGTTGTATTCCATTCAAGTATCTTTATTAATTACTTTCCTTTGATATATCTGATGAGAAAAAAAAACCTGCAAAGAAGGTAAGGACTTACAGAACTAGTAGGTTTTCAACTACAAGATCTTAAAATACAAGCCAAGGATGACTTACGGGAAGAGGCAATATTTCCTATAGACAAACTGATAGAAAAAGTACACAAGGGGAAAGCAGACAGGCTTTCAGGTAGATTAGACCTACCAGCAAGAGGTATACAGGTTAAAATGGGAAAGTTTGAGCACAGATTTATACTTGTTGTTTGAATGAACATTGTCCATTTGTATGTTTTACAGGGTGCACTCAGAACAACGGATATTTGCCTTTTTCTAGCTTCTATACAAAACAGGAGTCATGCAAGAAGCATGAGCCTACCTAAAGAAGTGTTTGAAGAAACGAGTTTGATACAGAGGAGGAGAGGATACCAAAAAGACAAAAAAAAAAGAAAAGAGGAATAGAAAGCCCCAGCATCCTAGTAGTCTTATAGCAAATAGCAAACAAATATAGAACCAGAAAGCCACTTGATCAGGCTTTTAGAGCATGTGCCAAACACTGTGAAGGAAAAAAAAATACATTGACCAGATCCTTTCTTTGACTTAACTGCCTAACTCATCTGCTACATCAAATAGTAAAATAAGTTATGAAGGACAAACACTGTAAACCAAAGAAAGATATCCAGAACACTGAGCAGCTATAAAAATGCAGCACACAAAGAACAGATAGCGTTTCTTTTACAGCTGTGCTATAAAACTCAGCACAGCCTACAGCTCTGTGGTCATCACCAGATCATAACTGTTTGGATTCTTGAAACATGAGGGTGGTCAACTACCCTAGCACAAATATTTTTATTGATGTTAAAACTCCGGAGAGTAAAGATAAGCAATTTATAACTGTCTACAAGATCAAAGGCCACGGCCGGATGCTGGCTGCTGCTCATTTTTTACAGTAATTACATTGTTAATTAATGGTAACATTAATTTCATAAAGACATTAATGAATTAGTTCTGCCATCAAGAAAAATAGTAGAGTTCAGAGCAATAATTTTACCCAAGTTTCCAAGAACTCATATTTTCTTCTCTGTAGGGATTCTTAGCTCAGTTTGTACAGGGAAATGAGTTCGAACAAAAATGTCTGAATCACCAGGAAGAGTTTCAGCTTTTTTCCCCCATGCAGGGAGTAATGACTAGCTTTCCTAACCATACATATTGTTAGAATAACAATATAATCCTTCTCCAAAGGGCACTGTTTGTGGATATTTGTTCCTGACAGCTAGTTTAGATTAACTCCAACTGTCCTCCAAGTATTTACTGAAGCCAATAGAAAGATTGCCATTACATAATTCACATACTTTATAGAATTTGGCTCATAGTTCTTAAATATTGGGAAAAATTCCCTCAGAAAACACTGATACAGCTTTAGCAAAAAGATCAAATCAAACAGTTTAATAATACTTACTTCTGTTCTGAGAATGCCAGCATATCTATCTTTTTTAATTCCAAGTTTTTTTCTAGTTGCTTGCTTTCCTCTCTCAGTTTTTGTAGGGCAAGTTCCTCATCAAGTACAGCCTATAAAAATAGAACAGACTATGTCTAAATATATGAAATTTCCAAAACAGCAGATAATGAATCACTTCATTGCCACTGGTCTGGTTTTTTTTTTTTTTTTATTTATTTCTTAACATATGCATGGGACTCTACTATTTTCTAGTCACTGAGATTTCAAAGTAAAAACTGCTACAGCCTGCAAAGAAAGAATTCTCAGGAAGCAGTGGATAAGGCTGTATTTGCTGTATTTAATCACTGAAGAGGTAAAAAAAATAAATCAATGCAGGTTGGTAATGAAAAGAAACTTTAAAAAACTAATCAATGAAATCTGTCATTTAAGGGAACCTCAAAGCAGGTTTAACTCTGGTACAATTCTGAATTTTTACTAACATTCAGACAGAAAGGACTTTTCTTGTCAAGGCAGCAGTGCTTGTAACAGAAGTTGGCAAGATTAGGGGAGAAAATTATATTTTACATCTCATTTTGGCTCAACTCATTAGACAAGTATTAGTTTTGCATATGGTTATTTTCAGTAGTGCTGAGGTAACTCAGCAGATATTAAACTGAATGTACAAAGTTTGAATTTATGATGCAAGAAATCTAGAAAGGAAAGATGAAGACAATGATCTTCCCTTACTTTTCTCTGATAAGTTATTCCTGCTTAAAGGGAAGAGTAGTTCTAGAGTAGGCAGGGTTGAACTGGAAAAAAATATTAAATAGGTGGCAGACAAAGAAAGCCTGGGTGTCTTTTAGATTTATTAGCTTTGACTTTTGGGATCCTGAGCCTCCTTAAAATTGTCATGTCCACCAGTGTAGAGTTACACTGCCAAATGCATTCCCAGGCAGTTGAGCATAATATAGTCTCCTTGCTTATTTTAGTTTCTACAACACTTTCCCAGTACAAACTCTTTCATAATATCTGAATAGAGTCTTCTCTAAATTTCTTCCAATGTCTGGCCCTTATATCATAGTTTGCATCCACTAAGTATCTGTGATTATAATTTCTCTTTTTCAGCTCATCCTCCAACTAACTCCACTAGCAGCATGTGGATGACTGAGATCCAAGACTCTCTCTCACTGACTTGTAATACACCCTATAACAATGTCCTCATAAATAGGTTGACTAACAGAGAGTAGCTGACTGGTTCATTACGCTGGTAAAAAGCGTCTATATGGACATTCTATTTTTAAAAGTGACTTTATAACTAAGTAACTAACAATTAATAATGTCAGTCAATTAGGCAACATGCAAGCTTATTTTTCTTCTTAAAAGGTAGAGACTGCATTTCTCTATAAATTTTCATCACTTTAACCAATTATGAAATTCAATTTTGATCTTTGCACTAATGAACCAAAACAATTTTGTATATAACTTACTGTTGAATTCAGACTTATCAAATGCTGCAGATCTGAAGATTTTACGCTCAAGTTTTCAAATTCATGCTTTTTCTGGGAAGTTTTTGCCTCCTGAGATTCAAGGGTTTTTTTCATTTCTTTATTCTACATTAAAAATAATACAATTAAGCAATGTACTATGTATTGTTTAAAAGTGTATATTAAAACATCTGAAGCCTTCCAAAATTAAGCACAAAATTTACACTAGAAGAAAAGAATTTTCTGAAAAGCCACAGCTATGTACCAAATGACAAAATTCTATATGAAAAAGAAACAATTAATATAACATGCAGATTAGTACCTGATCTGTCAAAATGTCATGTGATTTTATTCCAGTGTAGGAACATAATTATACAGTATTTTCTGATAGAAAGTTTTCTTTTAATCTGATCATCTGTTTTATGTTATTATTCAGAAAAGTATCAAATATACACAACTGGCAGTAGGGCAGAATATAAATAGTAAAACCTTATCTCAGAGCTTGCTGGAAAATATAGATACCTTTATTTTAAGCAATTTGTCTGGAGGGATTGAATTACCAGTACATGATTATTTGTCCCACAGTTAGTAAGAAGCACCAATACAGACATGACATTAGGAGATGTGCTGCTAGAAAACAAATTTCATACACCATGCAATTTTGATGTGTCATGTTTGTGGGATTATGTATACATGTATACATACCATACACACAAGCACATGCATACAGGAATCAAAACAGCATGTGTGCACCCAATGCCAGAGTCATTTTTCTGTTTGTGATACTGTGGAAATACATGTTAGCTCCATATGACAAAGAAAAATACAACATCCGGAATAATTTCCAAGGTAATTCCATTTTTTGGCATTATATCTGTAAACTTTAAAAAAAGTACATTTCAAAACCTTTACCTCTTTATCATAGTCTTCTTTCTCTTTCTCAAGTTTACTTATTTTTTCAGCTATTTTTTCTTTAAGTTCTGCTAATGCTGCTTTTGTCCTGATTATTTCTTTTTCTTTCTCTCTTGTTTTATCACAAGTTTCAATTAAGAGAGCGTTTGTGTTAACTTTTGTTGCCATCCTTTCATTCAGCAAGTCTCCTCTTTCTTTATGCTGTGTCTGCAAATATTCTTGTTCATCACTGGAAAAAAACAAATACATGAAAGTTATATTTCCTACCATTCATTCAGATCAACGACTTGGTTCAGATGTTCGTTAAAACAAATACTTGCCCACCCACACGTTATCAGCTCAGTCTACTAGAGCACTATACATACTATAAAGCATGACATGCACTGGTACCTGTGATGAAGACCATCTAAGACCTTCCATTCCAATGAAATGGCTTTCAGTTATTTGTATTATAACTTTTATAAAGTTTTCCTTTTTCCGATTGTCATGGTTCAAGCCCAGCCGGTAACTCAGAACCACGCAGCCGCTCGCTCACTCCCTCCTTCTTCCTCCCCCCGCTCCCGGAGGGATGGGGAGGAGAATCAGAGGAATGTAACTCCCACGAGTTGAGATAACAGCTCTCCAGTAACTAAGGTATAATACAAACCACTACTGCTACCAATAATAATGATAAGAGGAATAATAAGGGAAAAGGACACAACCGCTCACCACCCGCCGACCGATACCCAGCCTGACCCGAGCAGTGATCTGGGCCTTCCGGGTGACTCCCCCCAGTTTATATACTGGGCATGACGTGCTGTGGTATGGAATATCCCTTTGGCCAGTTTGGGTCAGGTGTCCTGTCTCTACTTCCTCCCAGCTTCCCCTCCTCCCTGGCAGAGCATGAGACTGAGAAAAGTCCTTGCTCAGAGTAAACATTACTGAGCAACAACTAAAAACATCGGTGTTATCAGCATTGTTCCCAGGCTGAAAGTCAAAAACACAGCACTGCACCAGCTACTAAGGAGAAAAAATGACTGCTGTAGCTGAACCCAGGACATGATATGATTATTTTCCACAAGTTTCAGTAAAAATGGAAAGGCTCCTTGCAAGTGCTGAAAGAACAAAGAAAGCAGGCTTCCCTTAAGAAAATGCATTGTGATTTATTTTTGAACAGCTCTTGCAGCATGGCAGAAGGTGACAGTAACATGAAATCTGGCAGGGAGAAAAATATCTCCCAAGTCTCTGTATCCTCTTGGGGTAACTCTTGAAAAGGAAGATGGATCTCTAGCACAGTTACTAATTCAGAGTTCCTGCCTCTTTTTAAACAGAAAACTATGAGTTTTGCCTGTAGTAGTTCCTTAACATTAAGTGTTAAAAGAGAAAACTCTCCCTGCAAGTGTGAGAAGCAACACTGCAGACAGTTTTCCCTACGTGAGCTTATCAGGGCTGCAGAAGGCATGCAGCAGCAGGCAGGCTCTGCTGTTCATGAAAAAACATCTTAAAAATTAGGCTTGCTGCTGCAGCAGAGTTGCCTAGGAACATTTGTGGTAAGCTGCAGGGGTGAGGGACAAGCACTACTCACCATGTTTTGATAACATTTCAATTCTCCTTAATCACCTTGTCAGTAATTTTTTTCCCTTGTTCAGATGAATACATACCACAGTTCAGCATTCTGTCTTTCACAAAGGGTTTGCTTCTCAGTCAGTAATTCAATTTTATAAGCAATGCTTTCCAATGCAGACAGCAGCTGATGTATCTTAGCAGCACTAGATTCACGTGCAGCAGTAATAAGAGCTAAAAAAATAAATACAAAACATGCAGAAGCCTCTTAGCTATGAAAAGCTATATATAAAATAGTACATCAAATGATTGATCCATAATCTTTAATTCACTACTATTAGTATTGTCACCTGGAAAGGGACAGCTGTGATTCTAAGACACTAACATCCCTGAAGTCACATACTTTATTTCAGGAGTTTCATCTTACCACGTTTTCCCTGAGTAAACTGCATTTATCCGCAAGAAGCAGCCTGCTGCGTTTGCACAGAACCATTGCTCTTTTTCAGACTGTGCGTCTAAGAAATTCCCTAAACATACAGTGCACTGATAAAAATTACTCCTTTCCCCCCGCCCAGATATCCTCTGCACAATCAGCTCTCTGGCAGCCAGGGACAAGAATCAGGATCACCTGGCTTGAAATTGAATAGCATTTCTCCCAGAAGAGCCACCACCACGTGAAAGTGAAGAGCCTACATGAAGAGGCCCTGTGGATAATGCTCCTCTGTGCAGGGGTGTCGTACTACAGCATCTTTTCAGCTGCTGAGCTGAGTCACATTAGGGTGCATCCATCCATGCAAACACATTTAGGCAGTGCAGAATGGGAGTAGCTAGTATAAACAACCGACTAACTGCACAGCAGCCACATGCTGCCGGCAGAGAGAAGGTGAGGGAGGAAATCGGCTACAAGAAAATAAACCTGGGGGGAAAAAGAAAAGAAAGGGAAAGGAGGCAGGGGAGGGGAAGAGGAAGAGGAAGTTCTGTTTGCTGGTTCATGATGAACCTAAAGCTGATCTAACTTCATCATACTCTAAAAGGAGCAGTCCTACTCTCCCTGGTGACCCTGCCACCCAATCATGCAGCCTCATGGTTAGCTAGATAAAAAACTCCAATTCCCTTGCTTCTCCCAAAAAGAAGAAACCCTATCATTCTAGATCAACTGACTGCTTTGCTTTGAGACTACAGTGCAAATAGAGGGATGATAGTGGAATACGCCTTGGTCATCTTAAAAGTCAAGCCATATCTGAGAGAAAAAAAAAAAAAGAGAGAAATGGAGCTCAAGCTTTGTTTTCATCCAATACTTACATTTGAGCTAAGGCTTTAGCCTCCCTTCAGTGGAAAGAGGCACTTCCAGCCCATGATCCTTCCAACTTCTTTTAAAACATCTGTTCTAGAGTGAGATAAACTAGGTATGACGAAGAAATTTTTTACAATGAAGGTGGTGAAATACTGGAACATGTTGCCCAGAGAGGTGGTGCATGCACCATCCCTGGAGACATTCAAGGCCAGGCTGGATGTGGTTCTGAGTAACCTGATCTAGTAGAAGATGTCCCTGCTCATTACAAGGGAGTTGGACTAGATGACCTTTAAAGATCCCTTCCAACCCAGACTATTCTATGATTCTATGCCTAGAAATGCTGTCTAAAAGAGTCAGTTGATAAGCATTTGGCAAAATGAACCCCACCCAAAAGTAATGTCACATCAGGTAAGCATTATTATCCCTACTTCAGAACAAAGGCAGTTGCAGCACAGAGCACTCAAGTGCTCCATCTCAAGGGTCAGAGAAAGGCTGTGGCATGACTGGAATCCAGACTGAATGCCGCACTTCTCCAGTCATTCCTGTAGTGCTTGTGCATGGTCTTCAGTGCAGGTGTCCCTAATTTATATGCTTATGTGAGATAATAGTCCCTCACAGTGTCATACATCAGCAAACACCTATCTTCTTCCATTAAGTTATTATAGAAAGTGATTTACCTTTAGCAGTAAGATTTATCTTATAGAATACTTCAAATTATTTAAACACATAGAAAATTCAATTCTCTTGGCGGGGGGGAGAGGGGTTCAGAGCTGGTTAAGTCAGTACTACCTGTCATCTCTGCAATACTTTCTCCTGAAAAATTCTTTATTCTGAAGCGAAGATTGCTGTTTTTTATAGTCTCCTCTTCTAGGCATTCAAGGGTATGTCTTCGAATTTCTTCCTGATGATTAAAAAACTCACTAGTGAGAACCAAGTAATACAACAGATGAAAAAGCACTTTTTCCTTACAAACCCATTCTTTCTTTTTTTTTTTTTTAATTTTTATTTTTTAGTTAGTTGATAGTGGGTATTTTCCATGCCTGGCTATATCATTCCCATTCCTCATACTTGCTCTCTTTTCTCTTTTCTTTCATTCTTCAGAATAACAAGTAATTTGTTCTACAGGTGGCTGAACAAACCTGTGTATCTCCAGGAACTGTTGGCTTCTGACCAGTAACAATCTTGAGGAGTCGATTACCCACATCTCTGCTACAAAAGCTGTGCTGGCAGGAAGGTCTTAACTGTCAGCTTCTGCCACTGTGCATGAAAGGTGCTATTTAAGCAACAGAGAGCCTCATTTCCCTATGGCCTGAAGCTATGCTGAAGAAGGGAGATGAACTTGCCCTGAGACATACTATTAACCATGAGCCAGAAGTCATCTTCTGTTTTATGGTTAATACTATGAGAAAGGTCACTTTTAGAATGAAGGCAAAGCAAGAGAAAACAGACTGAACTGATTGTGGGAGAAGCCCTCAAACAACTGAATCCCCAAATCTGGATGACTGAGAATTGTAGGTATGTTGAAGCCCCAAATGTCTTGGGAAAAAAATCAGTTCTTAAATGAATGTTGACTTTGGCATCACAACTTATGCATAAAACCATTCCTATCTTTCTCCTTCAGTTTTGCCAGCAGTTACAATCACCAGCTGAGACACTGTGGGAAAAAAATATACTGTTGAATTTTACTGTCTACAGAGCAAATTCTATATGCATGCATATAAATTACTCTCATTTCCTTGAGAAGATGAAATATTTAGAGGTGTAAAATAAATCTGTAGATAATTTTAATTTCATATGAGTTACATCCTCAATTAGCTGAAACAGTGAAAAAGAAAACTTTATGATTTCAGAACATTACATAAACCACTCATCTGATAGACTAATGCAGAGGTGGTCTGAAATAGATGATTTAGAGGCCTCCTGAGTGAGAAAGTAAAGTTTTACAAGATTTACACCTACCTAGACAAAAACATTATGGACATACTTCAAAAATCGTCTTTGAAGCCATTCTGGCTTTAAGGGCTCCAGAAGTCTTACAGCAAAAGTTAGCTACCTATGAACAGCCATCGTCAGCTCATAATTACTGTAAGGTCTCTCATTATCAGACATTATGCAATTGTTTCAAGGAAAGACAAATTATAAAAAAAAATAAATAAATCCCTTTGCACCTAGTCCCAGGGCAAACCACCTGCCTGCT